TACAATTTTGTAAAAAAATCAATCAAGTTCGAAAATGATTTAAAAATACACAAGCACAAGCCATTTGTGACACTTGAAAAACTAAAGTAAACACTATCGCATAAACGTTAATACTAAAATCGGATTTTAGTAAACCGAACCGACTGGGGCCACATGGAGAGAGAACGCATTGCGTGCAGCGCATAACACGAATAACGCTATAAACTACAATAGCCCAACGATGTAAGAGTTGTAAATGCCATAATTTCAATAATCATTTCCTTGAAAACTATATTATTTTATATATTTTTTTACGATTTCCATTTTTCATGACTCATCTATTCCAATTTTTTTTTAATAAGTTGTGTATCACCCTGTATATAAAATGTGGAACAAATGCACAATTTATTAGTAGAGCTGTCACAATAGAGCTTGTCATTTCATGCATAATTGTGTGTAATTAGGTCGAGCGTAGTTAGTGCCAAAAAAAAGCAGCAAACAATTCATACCATATTGACTAAAAAACAAATTTATCGGTAAGTAGCGTAGCTATAAAATTATTAACATATAAAAACTATTCAGGTGGAAAACAAAATAGAGATATATTTTTTGGAATAGAAAAGAATTTTATGAAAGGAAAGGAAAATAATGAGTTCTAAAAATACTTATTAAAGCTTTTTCCTTCGTTTAAATGTATGATTTTTTATTTTTTTTTTTATAAAATTTAAAAGAAAAGCAGGGAATAATGAATTATATACTCAGATCAGCATCACAGTTCTATCAGCAGTAAATTTGTACAACAAAACGGCAATTAAAACGTATTATTTGAAGTGCATGTGGTCGTAGGGGAAATTAAATAACGAACAATACTTTCTTTCACTAAAGAAATATAAAAAATAAAGTAATTCAGTATATAAACATATTTGTATAAGAATAAAAATATTAATAAACATAAATTAATAAGTATTACCTAAAGAGTGCACACGTATAAAAAAAACTGGAGAACGCTAGAAGATTCAGTTTATGTTTGATTTAATCTTTATACTGATTGCATGTAACCTCCCATTTGATATAGTAAATAAAAAAACGCTTCATTCATATGTCGAACGGTCGTTCTCTTCATATTAAGATATTTTATCAGTTTCGCTAAAACAAGTATAGAAACATACATGATGATGCGATCTATAACGAATCCCATCCAGATTGTGGAACTGATGGCAACGATGCGTAAAACAATTTACGTGTTTACAATGACAGAAATGTTATAGTCATTGTTCACTTTATTTTATGTTGATGATCCCCACACCTTTGGTGCGCTGCCAATTATGACAGCTCCATTTATTAGTCAACAGCTGTTTTATATATATTTCTTTGATATTGCAAAAAAATTTGCTACATCTTTGGTCTTTATTATATTTTCCTAGATAGAAAAGGTAAAAAATATAAAGGGTCTAGAATGTTATGAAAATTATCCTGTACACATTTAAGATTCACTTTGTATATGGTCAGAATTTTCGGAGACCCTGTATAATACACTATTTTCTTTCCTTCATTTTAGGAAAAGAAAATCTTAAGTTTTAATTTACCTTTACTAACGTTTTTCTGTATCGGTAGGTACCAATAAATCAGTCATGTAATACCTACCAAATAAATACTATGTACTTCCGCCTAAGCTACCTCAGCTCCTGACTGATTTATTTACATTTCACGGTTGTTACCTCCACAGCTCGTAAATTACTGTGTTTTCCACATAATACATCCTCTCCCAGTTCCTAAATCACGCCGCGGTACCAGCGCCTGCTCAAACGCGAGATATATTCAAATGATCGGTAACACCGAGTTTGGTTAGGACAGGATTGCAGATCTAGTACTAATCTCTTAATTAAATCGGTATTACGACTGTCACCCCGGGAGGATATTGAGAGTTAAATTGTATGCAAAACTATTAGTTTTCGAGTAATTAATCTTGCAACCACGGAAAAGATGATGCACGGAAAGTTCGCGGAGAACAAATAGTCCTGTAGACAGGGGGGTCCCAATTGCCTCCTTCATTTAGATGGAGTTACCCAAGTGTTTTTTGTGTATTTTGAGCTGCAGAACACGAATTTTTTTGGTAGAAGTTTGCCCGGATGTCGATAAGTTTTTTATTAACAAAAAACTTGCAAAATACTGAGAACTTAGTTTTTGGCAAAATAAAAGTATTTTCTTTTTATTTGACCCATTTTAAGAAGAGAATGTCTCTTGCAATTTTTTTGTTAAACGCATAGTTTTTGAGGTAAACGCCGTTAAAAACTCGAAAAATGTAATTTTTGCGATTTTCAATTGTTAATAACTTTTGATTGAATAGGTATTTTGTAATTATACTGACGGCATTTGAAAGTTCACGTTAAATACTACAAATTATGAGTAATTGCAGTGTGAAAATTTGTTTTTTCCACTGTTATTTGAAGCTATAAACAAATAGCGATTGAGCGTTCAGAAGGGTGCGCCGCCATGTATGTAAGAGAGCGGTTGCCTTCTACAGGCGTTTAATACACTATCCTGACGCCTTGAAGCGCGACTACAAACAAGTTTTAAAAATAAATGACAATCGTTTAAAACAAAATGCATTAAAAAAAACGCGGAAAATTTGAAATATCAAAGATATGTTTGCATGGTTATTTCTAATTTGCTTTGTAAACATTATTATACGATTTATATGAAAAAAAATTAGCGAAATTATATTAGTTTTAGTTATAAACGATAATAAAAAAGTTTATACTTGTATTAAAAGCGTCCTATCGTATAATTTAGGTGTTTTTATAATTATTATTTTATAAACTTGTATAATAATTTTAATTATTGTCTTATCGACATCCGGGCAAACTTCTACCCAAAAAAATCGTGTTCTGCAGATCAAAATACAAAAAAAAACACTTGGGTAACTCCATCTAAATGAAGGAGGCAATTGGGACCCCCCCTGGCTACAGGACTAAAAATAAGGTTATCACGAATTGGTTCTCATCTACACTCATAAAAATTTTATGTAAAATTACGCACTAGATCGTTGGTTATTCTGACGTCACAGTAGGTAATGTAAAATTACTAAATACAAGTAAGTGGCTATATATCCATGCGTGAGTCAATTTTTTGTAGACAGGAGATAGAACACATGTTTTTAAAAAGAAAAATGTCTATAAACATATGCCGTAGAATTCTTCGTTTCCGAGATACAGGGTGTTGAATATAATTTTATTTTCTCGAATTTTCATTATAACTTATAAACGAATGCTTAGATTTTTTTCGTGTTTGGGGAATAATGCCTATTAATTAAGGTGCATAAAACAAGCGATAAGAATGTTCAAAAACTTGCACAGTGGCAGAGTGGAAGGGGTGCTCAACCCCTTTCTTAAATGGAACTTCTACGTCAATGACTATTTAAAAAAAAACTGTTATTTTCATTATCTACTTACAGTTTAACAAATATAATGTCCCTTCTTTTGTTTCGAAATTCCTGTGCGTTTCCGAGTTATTTTGAGTTTTAGTGTTTGATGTGGTACTAAAGTAATTTATTTATTATCAATTATCGGCTAAATATTTAATTCTTTCAACGAAACCTACCTAAATATGGTTTGTTAAGGATTCTAAAAAGCCGAAATCTCTTATTCTTTATCTCTTTCCGATGTAGTCAAAATAAATATTTGTTATATCAAGCTTATACTCAAATACAAGACTTTTATAAGTTGAAATCTGTTAAATTACAAACATACAATACATTATTGTGCAGTTGCCAAAAAGTTTTAAGAAGTCGTTAATTAAATATTGTTATAAATTCAAAAAAATTCTCCACAAACATTAACATCAATGTTCATTCAATCTTTTTTTTGTAATTTAGTATTTACGCAGCACATAATAAAATAGGATTGTTAAAATTAGTGTACTAAACAGATTTCAAATTATAAGTCTTGTATTTGAGTATGGCTTGATAAAACAAATCTTTATTTTGACTACATTGGAAAGAGATAAAGAATAAGAGATTTCTCCTTTTTAGAATTCTTAACAAACCATATTTAGGTAGGTTTCGCTGAAAAAATTAAATATTTAGCCGATGATAAATTACTTAATTTAGTACCACATCAAACACTAAAAAATCAAAATAACTCGGAAACGCACAGGAATTTCGAAACAGAAGAAGGGGCATTATATTTGTTAAACTGTATGTAGATAATGAAAATAACAGTTTTTTTAAAAGATAGTCATTGGCGTAGAAGTTCTGTTTAAGGAAGGGGTTGAGCACCCTTCCACTCCGCCACTGTGCAAGTTTTTGAACATTCTTATCGCTTATTTTATGCCCCTTAATTAATAGGCATTATCCCCCAAACATGAAAAAAAATCTATGCATTCGTTTATAAGTTATTATGAAAATTCGAGAAAAAAAAATTATATTCAACACCCTGTATCTCGGAAATGAAGTCTTCTACGACATATGTTTATAGGAACTTTTCTTTTTAAAAACATGTGTTCTATCTCCTGTTAAAGTTTGTCTACAAAAAACTGACTCACCCTGTATAATAACAGGCGAACGCCTACATAGGGTGTATCCTAAATCTATGTCATAAATTAAGGGGGTGATTCTTTGGGCCATTTTAGGACCAAAAATCTTAATAAACCAGGGCACTAAAGTTACTGGTTAAGTTTTTCAAAAGTATCACATTTTTTCATTTATCTCTGAAGTTGTTTGATATAAAAAAAGTTGAAATTAAGTAGCCCTTTGCAACTATCAAAGTAGGACGTGCGAAACAGCGTTATAAACAAATTGTCCGAGGGTCAGGCAAAAGCCGCTCGGGAATTCGCTCTTTTTGCATTAAATAGAGCTTATTCTTACGGCAATTTTAAAAAGAGAGATTAACTATTGGACGTATCGGATTCATCGACACCTTTAGTTCTTCCTTGAACAAATCCAGTGCCTGCCTCTTCGGTCATCTGCTAGTGACGCACCTTTGCTTTCAGAGTGGGAGCAGGGCCACGGCGGCTTCCACGGCATGGAGGTGGAGGTACGAGAAGAGGCGTCCGTAGGACGCTCCACGGGAGACTCCACCAAACTGGTCAACAACACACCCACCTACGCGGGGGCAGGTAAGAATGAATTTCAATCACACAAAAAGTACTTCGATCAAACTTTATAAAATTCGAGGTAGCTTTAGTGGGTGGGCGTCATTGATGAAAAATGGCTAATTAATGAATTGAATGACATTCGAAAAAGTGGATCGTCTTTATATAGGGTGATTTCACAAAAATATCTAGAAAGTTAAATTTAAAAAAATATATTTAATTTTTATTATTAATTTAAAACTTAAGGAAAGACTTAAAATTCACTAAAATGTGGTTTTAGTTTCGGTCACCGTTTGTGAATCACCCTGTTTAACTTAAAAGAAATGAAATAAAATAAGAAAATAATAGGAATTGAACTTGTGATTTTTTTTCAAAAATTTTTCTTGTCGATTTTTATTATATACAGAGTGTTCGGAAATTACCTGTACAAGGGAAGATCACAGACTCCTTGACTTAAAATAAGTATATTGAGCCCAATTTACCTATTTCCAAAATTGTTCCGTTTAGTCGGTAGATGACGCCAAAATTCGATAAAAAATTTTGTTTATTCTGAATATCTCGAAAATGATTTTACCAATTTTGTCAATTTTTTGGGTTACAGAGTTAGGTCTTTAATTAACGTGTTTTGACGTTATTTAGAATCATTTTCAATCCCTACAAATATAAAAAATCAGATACCGTACAAATATAACCACATTTTTCTTATTCCCCTGTACAACAACTCAATTTTTGTTCACTGCTTGATTTTATTTAGAAACTTTTTTACTCTTGTAGAATTGTGATCAGATGAATAGTTTAGGCAGAAAAAATTGATTTTCGTAAGTTTGCATTATAATTCATTGTGCAACAAATAACGAAGTAGGCACCAGAAGTTGACTGATATTTTGAAGAAAAACTGATAGAGGTGCTTTCTTTATAAGTAGTCAATATTTAGAAGTTTTCAGATACTTATGTTCATATAATTTGAATAATATTATTAACGAATAAAAGAGACAGCACAGGACCTAAGGCGAATTCCTGGGGCATAACCATATTTATATCAACAATATATGATTTGTACGTATGTGTAGTGTATTGTCAAAATTCGGATAACTTGTTAATCTTGCAAGAAATTGATGGCTTTGACTATTAGCATTTATTAGAATTATTTCAGTTAGTAGTTGTAGACACCCATTTTTATATGTTCATATACAGGGTGACCCATTAAGAATGGAACTACTTGCGTACAAAAGTTGTTTATGGACAAAAGCTCTATCTTGATGCAAAAGGCCTACTACGATTTTTTTTTAAGTGAAAAATAGCAAAATTTTGTTATCGATATTTTTTATAAAAAATCCGACTACACCACTGGATTTAGGAACCCCTCAAATGCATTTGTACCAATTTTTGCGAAAAAAAGTTTGCCCCTAAAAAAGTTATGACAATATCGGCATCACCAATGTTTGCTGTTGTCGGTGAACCTTTATTCTTTTATAAAAACCGAATAGTACCCAAAGGGAAACAAAATTAAATAACAAACACTGGTTTAATAATTATTAATAAGAATCAATAAAAACCAGTGTACACAAAATAAACAATTACTCTAATATAAACAACAATTGATAAAAAAAGTAATGATTAAAAAATTACATTTTTAAAAATGAAAAAGGAGTCTGTCAAATTGATTTACACTAATCACGTCATTAAATTTAAATTTTTGTAGCTTCTACTAATCCTCCGTTTAATTCTATACATTTTTCATAACGTTCTTTTTATATTTTTTTTTACAACATTTCGTAATTGATTCACGTTAAACTCCTCATACGCTTCCCTTATTCTAGTGCACAATACCTCCCGGTTATTTGGCCGTGTCTTAGAAACTTTGGACTTAATAAAGCCCCACAGGAAAAAATCAAGTGGGGTAAGGTCCGGAGATCGGGGTGGCCAATGAATTAATGGACTGTTTCGCCCTATCCAATGATTGGGGAAATTCTCGTTAAGCCACCCCCTGACTTATCTCGCATTGTGTATTGGACATCCATCCAACTGAAAATGTAGATTTACTCTTTCTTGTAATGGAATATTATCGACTGTATTAAAAAATTCGTTCTGAAGGAAATGTAGAAATTGTTCGCCATTCATAGTCCCTTCAAAGAAGAACGGATCAATGACTCTCTCGTTAAGTATCCCACTCCAAACGTTAACATTCTGACTATATTGTCTTCGGCAATTAATTATCCACTCTGGATTTTCTGAAACCCAACACCGCGAGTTCTGTGATGATACAATTGCATTCTTCGTGAATGTGGCCTCATCCCTGAATAAGATATTTAAAAAAAAATCAGTAATTGAGATATTGTCCATGTGCCCAGAGACAAAACACCATTCGTTCTCATTATCGCCTGGTTCCAGAGTGTGAAGTAACTTAGGTTTATAGGGTTTTATGTTATTTTTTTTATGCAGGTCGGATACTTTCTCTAGGTAAATTTAAATCTAAACTAGCAATCCTGAGGCTATTCTGAGGATTGTTTGTAAAATAATTTAAAATTTCCTGCTCGTGAATACATCTTCTTTGTTGATTGCCCCTTTTTAAAATGCATTTTGATACAGCACCATATTCCATAAAAGTATTGTTTATTTTAAAAACTGTGCTATGCGTAATATTAGGTCTATCTGGATGTCTGTTGTTAAAAATTATACACACCTCTCTTGCCGTCCGATCATTTTCTCCAAAAGGGCGTACTATTTCAATTTTCTCATGTAAAGTTATACTTTGAGCCATCGCAAAGAATTATGGAACTTATTTAACCATGCACAAAAAATATTACAATGTGCCACTACTTGTGAAGTTTGACATTTGTTGTCTAAACTTCTATTTTTCACAGCCTACCAAATTTTGTTCATATTATTTTTAAGCAACGTTATTTTCTGGAATATCGCGTAATATTTTTTTCAGAAGATTCTTCACAAAGAATTGGATTATGGTTGTAGAAACCCAGTGGCTTTTTTAATAAAAAAAAATTATAAATGGAATTAGGTTATATTTGTAAGTTTTGGCATAATAACCGCGAAATAATAATAATTTGACAACTTGTTTATTTTATGTATACTGGTTTCTATGATTCTTTTAATAATTATTAAACCAGTGTTTGTTATTTAATTTTGTTTCCCTTTGGGTTCTATTCGGTTTTTATAAAAGACTAGGTTCACCGACAACGGCAAACACTGGTGATGCCAATATTGTCTTAACTTTTTGAGGGGCAAACTTTTTTCGCAAAAATTGGTACAAATGCATTTGAGGGGTTTTTAAATTCAGTGACGTAGTAAGATTTTTTATAAAAAAAATCGCTAGCAAAATTTTGCTATTATTCACTTAAAAAAAATTCGTAGTGGGCCTTGAAAATCAAAACTTCGTCTTCAAATTTTGCATCAAGATAGAGCTTTTGGAGATCTATCTTTAAAAAAAAAACCGGTTCAAATCGGTCCATAAACAACTTTTGTACGCGAGTATTTCCATTCTTAATGGGTCGCCTTATAGATATACTCAATTATTTCTACAACTTGAAAAGTTTTATACAAATTTTATTTTTATGTTTTCCCACATTTCAAACAATAACGAAGAGAACATGAAGTGAACGTGCAACATTATTTATCTTGTCTTTGATCCACCCTGTTTACGTCTTTCCTTGATAGCGTCCTAATTTTTAAAAGAAACCTTCGCCGCCCTTTCCAATCGCCCTGGCTTCTCCCTCACTTCGGAACAATTAAACAACAGGACAGTTGTCAAAAGTTAAGGCTCTGGCGGTAACAAGCTCCGAAGCGGTGGAGTAGGTTTTGAGGGACACGAAAGGCCCTGATTGGATTGGCTGGTTCGTCAGTTTGTCAGGGATCCAGACGGAGCGGTCGCGGAATTAGGTTGGACGCTATTGTGCGTCCCAGTGGAGCATTCACTGGGGGCTCTAGGGTCTTGTCCTAATAAGGTCGACATTATTACCGTGGATTAAGACGCCTACAGATTGAGGTCACACCGGAATATACGTCGCGTGGGCGTATTATTAGCCATTCAAAGCAATTAGCTGGACTAAAACTTTTACATTTAAATGGATCAATACGTTAGTCAAGTGTATTGGTACATGTAATAGGCTTTGTATATACAGGGTGATTCAGTCATAATGTTATTAATTTTAAGGGGAGATAGGAAAAAAGGAGTAGAATACGAATATGCTATTAAAAAAATCAAAATGCGTGTTTACGCTGAAAAAATATTTTCAATCATTATTTAAACTCTTTTTCGGACCGCTCCTGACCGCTGACCCACAAAGATTTATCAAGAGTGAATCTTGACCTACCGTAATATACGGTCATTAACCTAGTGTTTAATGCCTTTTTAATCCGCTGGGAAGTACATCGAATAAACAGAGCTTTTTAGCTAGATACTTGAATGAATAAGATATTTTTTACATTTTAAATATTAACAAGTACCTATTATGTGTTTGTTAATAAAAACAAATGCATAAGCATAATAATTATTGTCAAATGTGAGGTTATACAATTTAGTATTTTCAATATTGTAAACGTATTCACTATATTTATTAATTGAATAAGAGTTTTTAATATTATGATCAATTAATTATTCAGTTTGTAGTTCGTATATCTTATTGTGTGACTTATTGCTTTTTCAAAAAGTATGGTACCTACCTATCTAAAATTTTTTTTATTTTTAACCCCCCCTCCCTAAGAAGTTGCTCTTTGAAAGTGGTCATTTTCCATGACTTCTTTAAAACTGGCTCAAATTAAAACAACAAACAAATTTTGCCTGGATCCAGTACTGTTGAAATTCCACTCGTTGTCACCTCACAGCAAGAGGATGAAATAATGCTCCCCTTGTCGAGGGTGTTCCACTAAGGTCGACGAGGTACGATATTAGGGAAAGTATAGGCATAGAGCTCCGGTTTTTTTTTATTGAATAAATTGACCAGAGAAATCGATGGAAATAGATTTCATGTTCGTAGCTTGTCTGCTAGTGGGCGCAATCTACATACCAA